ACGGCGGCGCCACAGGTGTCGAAGGTTGATGAAAGCTGCTCTAGCTTTCGCTATTCGTGATGTGATCTCCTCTCCAACACTTCCACCAGCTGCGATCAAACTCCCGAGGTACTTGAAGCTCTCGACTACTTCTAGCTGATCATCACAGAGGGTGAGTGCAGGCACAGGCTCCTGTCAGTCTTGAACTAATACTTTGCACTAAGAAGGTGCAAAGCACCATACCTGGAAAATTATTGCCAAGCGGTTCCAAGCGTTTTGGACTGCCTGTGCATTGTCACCCAGCGAGGCGATGTCATCGGCATATACTAAGTCGAGGACTCTGTTCCCTGGGAGGAGTTCGGGTAGCATGTAAGCTGGCTACCACTTCAGGTCCTCTCTAGAATCCACCGGATCATCTCGTTTTTATTACACATTTTTGTATGATGAACTGGGTTTACCACGTAGTCACAAGGACCTGCTATTCACTTATGGTAAATGGAAACCTCAGACGTGGAGATTGGAGCAAATTACCACATTAGGCTCCGCAAGGTTAGGCATGGCATTGAATCGCTAAATACAGCGAGTCTGCTTACCGCCGATGACTGTAGTGGGGCTCGAACCTCTGACCATAGGTCTCACAGCAAGCCGATGACAGTGACTCAAACCGTTTGGTCACCGTAGTCCCTCACTCTAGAGGTGGGCAGATATCTTTTATTTCATTTGAGAACTTTTGTTCCTCCATTGTTCAACAGTTATGAGACCCATCGCTGACGATTCTCCACGTTGTTCCTTATGGACTCATGGTAAAAAACAAAGGTCGACATTTTAGACGGCGAATGTTTGGATTCGTTTTTCTCCCCCAGGCAGCATAAAGCATTGTTAATGATCTTGGATGTGGGTTTCACTCCTTGGGAATTAGTTCATTCCTCGTGAGGTAAATGCGATGGAAATCTTCGTCATGACCGACAAAGGGCACTGGGCAGCTGTTTCATCCTGTTTGGGACTCGTCAGCAGTGTATACTTTTTGTGTCCCTCTGTCAGGACTCGAATCGCGAACCTTCGAGTCGGGGCTTCAAACCCGTATACGGCCGACGTTCCTCATCTTGTGCGAATAGCTCAGTCAGTCTCGATGCCCAAGAGACTGTTTCGTCGATGACGATTAGCTGTTGAGTGTGGTCAGACTGAATGAAGGTTGCAAACATCTTTGTTTCTGCTGAGTTCCTGTCCAATCGCCGTTGATAGGTGAACAACGCGGTGGTTTGACGCCCAAAACCAACCATCAGTAGGAGTTTTAGAATTTATATCTTGACTGACTAACAGTGTACTCCTCTAATAATCGCTTCTTTGTTCAATCCATTCTGTAATTAAACATAATGGTAAAGTGACAATAGTTCTGTCTCACACCTGAGTTTAATAAAAATTCTGATGATTTCTCGCCGTACACTCGGACGAGTGCCCGTTACACTGCATAGTCTCTTTTTTTGGCATTCTAATGTCCCTGACCGTCCATCGGGATTCTGTATCCGCCGAATCCAATGTACAGTGGAATTCAGTAAAGAGCGCGATACTCGGAGCTTATAGTTCCAAAGCTTTTCGGAGTGCAGAAAATTGGTTGGTGTATTCTTTTCCTCGACGAAACTGTGCTCGACTTGGTCTAGTGCGACCATTTCCGTTCACTTGGAGACAGTCTAGTAGAATGACGGAGAAAAATGTGGTCGTTGCTTCGTTGGGACTGGTAGTCCACTGCTTTTTACCACTCATATTGATAATCATAAGAAACAATTCGCGGTAAGACCGCGTCAGTGATGAATTCTTCGCTTTCACATATCGATCGGGTGATTGCTTGGAGCGGATCCAGGATAATAAAGAGGCAAGCTTTGTACACTTCTGCAGGTATACCGTCTGCACCAAGAGGCGACGCGGGGGGTAGGGGCGTTCATTTTCCACCATTTTTAATAGCTACTGCAATGCCTGATCTGCTGAGCAACTGTCTATCCATCACCTACACGGACCCGATTTTGGGATTCCAGATATGTACACCTGTGTAGGATGTAAATCGGTTTAATCGTGTACCAAAGTTCTCCTTTTGCTTCCCCAATCGGGAATAAATTGTCCGCTAGTGTCACGCAGCGAGACTTGTGTATAAACGATTGGGAGTGTCCTAAATCTATACGTTACATTCAGTTTTCACTTTTTCAGTGAATTCAGACCCGTAATCATTTGGGTCAATCTCCAGTTGGCTTCGTAACGTAGAGTTCTGAAGTGATTTGGCCCCTGCTTTGTTTTGATCGATAGCTGTAACATTCTACCGAAAATCCAATCTTCTTTTCAAAGCGCGGTGCAACCTCAAGTTCGACAGATGTGGCTTTTCAGGATTCTGGTCTTGGTCCCGGAACACTCCTGTTCAGCTAATTCTTCGTTGCTTTGGGTTACAAAATTGATGAACAATTGCAGCTGAAAATGTTTCACAATATTTCAGGGATTGTAATTGTGTTTCAAAACGCAACACGTTTTCCTGTACTGCATTTACAAGCCACTACAATTACGTTCGTTTAATCACTCGAGATCCATGGATGGAACGGATCTCGCTGAAAAACCTGGCGTCGTGCTCATAATTATTGAGGAAATTAGCTTGTCTTAGCCACGACGAGCGAAAACCAAAACACAAAGGCGACCACACACTCAGTGATCGAACGAACTTGATAGCTGACGAAATAATGAAAGCAACTGAACTATGTCTGAAGTCAACACTATTTGTGTATAACCATTCTCTCTACAAACAAGCTGACGGTGTTGCCATGGCATCACCCATTTCATCGATAATTGCGAACTTGTTTATGGAAGAGTTGGAAGAACGGCTGCTGAATTCGACAACTCTAGTACCAAGAGTCCGTTGGCGCTATGTGGCCGATACCTTTGTCGTCATAAGGAAAGTGCATGCGGACTCATTCACGCAGTTTTTAAATAACTTTCACAACTAAATCAAGTTCACACTGGAAACGACCGGCAACACCTTAAATTTTCTTGATTGCCGTGTGAAAGTACTGGGCTCGGGTAAAGTATCGGTGACAATAGACAGGAAAGGTACACATACAGGACGGTACGTAAACTTCCATTCTGATCACTCAACCAACATCAGTCAGTAGGACTTAGGTTAATTACTCGAGATCGGAAACTAGTAACCGACAAAAAGGATAAACTTCAAGAGATGAACCGGATTACTAAAGAACTAGAAGATAATGAATATCCGAAAGAGTTCATCGAAAAAATCAAACGCCGATATATCAACCCACTGCAGCCTCCACGAATGGAGTCCCTGAGTCTGAGTTGATCAGCTGGGAATGTACGGTTTACAGTTGTCCTAAAATTCTGGCGCACATCATTGTAAATGTGATCACCTTTGAACATAAGCTTGATGTAGATGGCTTTTTTCTCACGTTTTCCGATGGGTTACCTTTTGGAATTGGTCTACAGTGAATATCTATAAACCTTTCAGGGTAACCATTGTATAGTAATGTTCTCCTTAGGAAATCTTCTTCTTCCTTCAGTGTATCTGGAGAACAAATGTTTCTCGCACGGAAGTTTTTGATACAAGCAACCCACCTACCGTGGAGTTGACCTGCTTCTAAATTCAGTAATCTTTGTATGCTTGTACACGTTTGTTCACCATAATTGATTAATCCCATTTGCTATATGTGCCTGTTTGTTCTAAGTCAGCGACTGAGAAGAGTAAACGAAATGTTAACATCTCCCGACATTTGTCTTCTTTCTGTCTTGATGAAGTGGATAAAGGGAATTCAATGCTCCAAGTTTCATTTCTCGAAAAGTCACAGCTTCCTTTACCAACACTGTTGGTATTAGCAATTTATTTCATGATAAAAGAGTTTGATTTCTTTGTGTACATACATTTATGAACGACACCGGCACTTATTTGCGGCCCTATCACCCACTGTTATCCCCATTGAAACATTTCTTGTGTGGTCCATCTGAGTTAAACGTAATCTATACACTGGGTTTTTGATATATGATGTGTTAAGCTAATTATGAGTAGTATATCGATAATCGCTAAACGTTATGCAGGCGGGTAACTTCAGCCCTGTGGATTTTGTCACTATGACATATCTGGTCTGCGAGTTCAGTTTTCTTTACTTTTGGTTAGCTGTTAATCTGTGGTTCTGTTCAAAAAGAACTTGTGTAATTTTTCGTTCACAGGTTATCGCTCAACCCTGGGACAATTACGTGACTGATCCCGCAAAACTTTACCTCCCATCTGATTGGACGGTACCCCCAGACCGAATCATTACACTGACCGCACTCTGGCGTCTGTTCGGCAATCCAAAGACCGAAATACGATCACGGTCGGATAGAAAAGAGGCAGAGGAGATGGAATATCTACCGTTGGTGGGGTCGGACTCTTTTCAGATCCCATACGGCGATACGCTGGTGCGTACGGTTCCCGGCCAGACGGACGCTCAGCGGCAGAACAAGAAGCGCGACTCCCGTCCGTCGAAGAAGTCCAAAGGCAAAAGAAAAAAGAAAAGACGGCACAATGAGCTCCAGTGTTAAATGCACCCGTCTCATGTACTGCTTCTTTTTGTAAATAAATGAATTTTCATTTTTTTCCATCTCCGATGATGAGCGCGCCGTCGTAAAACCGATCGTGATCGCAAATATAGGGAACAGTCATCAATAGGAAACATTGCCATGATCATTTTTAACTGTCTGATAATTGAGAGCCGTGGCTGAATATCCCCCCAAAAAGTATTAGAACAAAAAGCGGAAAACCGCAGTGATTATTGTGTGCTTGCTTTTCAGCCTTAGGTGAAAATGTTAGGTCTCTTTGTTCTTTCTGCGTCTTTGAGAATGACACGGGCATACGGCCAGGGTGTCACATGACTGTAGCCTAAACCAATCCGATTCTTACAAATGAAAATAATTATATGGGTGGAAGGAACGATCAGAAAGCATCGTTGTATTTATGAGTTGTACGAATCAAGAGATTGGGGGTTTGAAGCCACAAACGTTTTCACATTATACCTCAACTGTTACGTAGTCACTGGTTTCTTCCTGAATCGATCCTGTCCAAAGATAACGCTCTTTACATTTATTCTCAGTGTGAACTTATTTTCGCTTTGGCAGATCAAACGCCTGAATTCTTTACGTTTCCTGAAAATTCAGACCCGTCGGTTTTATCTCGACCAAATGCGCTCTTTCGCTGGAAATTCATCATCATACAGTGAAGCAAACTTCACCGATCGCTGCCAAGCTCACAATGTACAAAAATCAAGTGATGAAGCACAAGATGGAGAGGTACTGGGCCTAAGTGGAGGGAGGCAAAGAAAGTGAATCTCTATGGTCCACACGGAGTACACAATCTAAGTGTGTATTCATACCTTTTCAAGCATTCCGATCTGATAAGAAATGACAACGTGAACACCACTGCTGACATTTCGCTGCCATATCCTTCAGTGTCTCCAACCAGCCCGTTGCACAGTCTTTCGGACCCCTGGACCTGGAAGACGAGAGACCCCTTTTCCACCTAATGGCTGTGTACATTTCTTCATGCCTGACTTCCACGTCATCTGGTGACCTCTACGCGGTTTCTTCCAACCTGGAGCCGCAACTGCGAATAGGGCGCGGTGCGGCACACGATGACTGGGCTTGCGCAATACGCGTTCTAACCAGCGAAGCCGATTAATCTGAATTCGATGGGACGGCGAATTCTCCATCGAATCAGTACCAAATACGCCACATCTCTCGGAGTTGCTTACACTCTCGTGCCAAACTACGTAAACATCGCTGTCAATTAATACCACATGAACAGTGTGGCGTTTTTCGCAAGCAGCGAAAGATCAAGACTAAACGGTCGACTTTACTCGCCGGATGCTCGGACGATTTTCGGGTCGAGGGAGGGGTCTTCCCGGCCTGATTTCGTTTGCATTCTATGGTTGCTCACTCACACGCATTGTGCACTGTATCAAGGGGTGGTGCCCCAGTTCGAGAAAACAGCGAAACTATTGCTCCGATGATAGTAAATGAAAGCTATCCAGAGGATTTGAAAACTCGGATGCTAATTTACGCGATGAATGTTTGAATGGAAACAGTAGGCGCCGGTGACCAGTCTCAAATACAGTCAATCTCCTGCTGTGGCATTTTCCAATATCTTCCCACTTTTTCGAAAACCCAAACCAATCACATACCTAATAGCGTAGTTTCTGACCATGCGAAGTCGCACCACCCCCCCCCCCCCCCCCCCCGATATGTCACAGTTCCTGATACGTACCCAATTTGTCGTTGACCGGGGTTCGGGACGACCATAGACCATCCACCTTGAAATGTCGCACTCAACCAATGGCGTTCACACTTAGTGTGATGCGTTCATGGTACTGTTCAATGATTGGACAATCCTAGCGAGGAAGTCACGCCGATGCAAGTGACCAGAGACGTCAAATTGGTACGGCTGCCTCCGAACTGTTCTTTACAACTAATGGATTAGAGCGTGATTTGTTCTTTCAAATGTTCGTTTTGGAAACATTTACTAGAATATGCTTTGTCTTTGATCGAAGATGAGCAACGTATCATGAAAGCCGAGGTGGACATTCTCATAGCCATGCATCTGGTCAAGAAAGCTTGGGTGTCTGTGCACCCGCACGTACTGGTCAACGCTTTCCCGAAA